ATTATTGTACAAGGGCACGGAGCTCATGTGGGTCAGTGACATCATAGGTGGAGCTCAGTAGGATTATAGATATTCCACATAGCTTAGTCAGCCTATGGGCCACAGTGTATATAAACCCTGCAGCTCTGCTGCCTAATGACAAGGGTCGTTTATACGAGCTTTACCAGTACCTACAGCATCCAACCAATACAGGTGAGTTGTGTAGGGCGCACTGTGCGTGCTGCTGCCTCCATAACTCTTCATCAACTCTTAAGACCAGGAAGCTGACAATGATGTTCAGCCTCCATGTGCTAAATGCTACACACAAGCCTTTCGATCAGATATCCCACATCTAGCACCACCGAAATGAAACCACCGAGAGTGGAGTGAAGGACTGTGGGTCAAATGAAGACAACACTGCCACTGGCACTGGTAGGGAACTGCACGGGTACACCCGTGGGTGTCCAAACGTGTCCCCGTATTGTATAGCACCCGCGATGAAACCCGCATCAATGGGTCGGGTACGGTCATGCAGGCACCCGCGGGTCTCGGTTTCGAAAGCGTATCGAACAACACGTTTTCGAGACCCGCCAGGTCACAGGTACAACCAAATGCAGCCCGTACCCATACCCGCGTGGGTTACCCATACCCATGCAGTTCACTACAGCCACGAATGTGGAAGATAAGAACGAGTGACTGTAATATAAGCTCGATTTGTGGGTACACGCACCTCACAAAGCTCACTTTTTCATATGAGACCTGCTGACGCACACATACACCCACAGGTGTTCCGAGGCAAACCTGCGTCGGCAGGTTGGGTACGGGTACACAGGTACCGGCTCGAAAGCATGTTTGATGACGCATTTTCGAGACCCGGTGGGTCACGAGCACCAACGCGACCCGTGCCCATACCCGCCAGTGCCCCTACCCATGGCCCAGATGGGTTACCCGAACCTGTGCATTTCACTACCTGCTGTTTATGACTTGAGACCATGTTAGTGAGATGGGAGCAGTCGGAGCAGCAATATGAATGTAGTACCTGAATATGCAGAGATCACATACCTCCACTCCCAAGCCATCTTTCGAGTCTCAAGCACTTGAAGGGACGTAATATTTGATGTATCCAAGATGTGGCAGTACATCCCGAAAGTGGAGTCACAGTTCATTTGCTCATGAGATCACGAGCTGAAGGTCGGCGCTGGGAGCATTGACAGGCAACTCATTGTGAGTGCCAGGAAGGCATAAGTGACTTCCAAAGCAAGTGCTGCAAAGCGAGCACAGCAAGCTGCTGCAAGAGGGATGTTCGACGTCGCTCATTGACCCGACGCAGCTCGGCCGAGATGACGTCATAGAATGGAACAAACCTAACCCCCGTCAAGGATAAAAGGCATCTGTCGCCTCACCCAACCTCAACGCTCAAAACCAGGGCTCGAGTGAACCTTTAGCATGGGGCTTTGCACGGTGTTGATGGGTGTTAGTGGTAAGTCATAATTATGGTTATATTGTGGTTAGTTATTCTGGAGGTGGGAAGCACAGTGTGTCACAGGTAAGAGCTGGCCACAGCATCGAGTTCTACAGATAACTGACTGATGGCGGCATTCTGCAGTGAGATTTAGATCAGTTTATGAGATAGTTACAATCTTGTGTATCTTAGAGACTAGAATGCATTGTATTGATTACTTATATTCAGTACAGTACATGCTTCCATGCTTATATGTGTGAAACTCTTGCTGCAGCAGAGAAGAATCATGTGTTGCAATACCATTTGCCTATTGGGACCTACAGCTGCCTACATAGCCAATGTAAACTACAGGCCTACCGGCCTCTGAGCCAACATACACCAACATAAACCTGGGGTTGCCTTTCATGACCCACATATCCGGGGGTATGCTACTTGCCAACCCCTGCTATGTCAGCTACAGAGGTTGACATAGGATAATAATGTTTTGCTGATGTTATGGCTATGCTCGGGCAGGTGACCTTGCAGAGTTATTGGATGTCTTTGTTCGAGGTGATCGGTATTCGCTTGTTGCTGCTCTTATGAAGGGAGGCTGTATTGCGGCCTCAGTTGTGCCAGGTTCATTCGACTCATATCAGTTCTTTGATTTTATAGCTGAAGAAGTTGTAGGTCCTGTACTCCAACCTACCATCACTCTGACATAGTCTTTGAAATAGCTTCCTCTCATGAATCCCTTTCCTGACACAAGATCTATCCTGGTCATCGATAATTGCCATATTCACCATAACGATGCACTGAGGGATCTTGTTTGTGCCGCTGGTGAGCAAACTCTCCCTACTGCTTGCACCTGCAAGCTGATCTCTTCTTAGGTTGTCTTCTCCTTTATCTTCCGCCTTAATCTCCGGACTTGAATCCAATCGAAGAATCCTTTTCGGTTCGTAAGTTTTGTCCATGCCACATTGTGTTGTTACTGCTAATAGTCCCGATAAGTGAAAGCTCATATTCGTCGCCATGAGCAAGAGATGCGTGCTGCTGAAGATCCCATTCTCGCACTACTAGATGCATGTTCCTGTATCACTCCAAATCATGCTGAAGGATGGCTACAACACGCAGGCTACATTGTTTGACAGAATGACAACTAGTTACACATTACAGTGACAAAAGGATGTACAATAGCAATGGAATAAGAGCTTGACAGTATTGAGGGAGTGAACTGAAGCAAAGAAAAGAAAGCTGCAACGGAGGAGACAATGAGACAAGCACAAGACAGTACGACGGTAGAGAGGGCAGGACTAGCATGTCGACAAGGTCAGACAAAGCACATATTGCAGACATCCTCGATGAAGGCATGATGCTTCTTGACGAACCAGTCCCATGACAAGGTCGTGAAACCAGAACTGCTCCAGTCTTCACGAGGTAGTGTTTCGACTCCACAGTCGCTGGGTACATAGTTGAGAGCCTGCAGCTTAGCAAAATCACTGTCCGAGACCTTGTAAACATGACAGAACTCATCCAGGGCGATTTACAGGGGAGCTCAGGCACATCACTGCTAGCGGGAATGGCATGCAGCGGGTGCTGGACTGGATAGCCACCAAAACCAAACTGGGGAGCGGGACCACCAAACCAAGGATTTGTGAAGGGCATCTGGAAGGGCTGGAAAGACTGAATTTGATTCATAAGCTGTTGATTTTGGAAGAGAACATGTTGCATAAAGAGATTCTGATCACTCCCAGGAACGGCAGGCTGGACTGCCGGAGCGAAGGTGGGCTGGACTTATTCTCGCCATCGATGTAGAATACTTCAACTTTCTTCTGCTCGATGACTTCCCTGATGTAATGGTAGCGAATGTCAATATGTTTAGACCTTCGCTCGGTGACTGGATTAGATGCAAGGAATATAGATCCTTGGTTGTCACCGCAAATAGGAATGGGACCGAGTTGGTAGCCTAACTCATCGAAGAGTTGTCTAACCCATACACATTGGCGGCTACAATCACTGAGCACCATGTACTCGGCTTCAGTGGAGGATAGCGCAACAGTTTTCTGCGCTCTAGACTGCCAACTGAATATGCCATTGGCTAATTTAAGGAAGTAACCGGTTTGGGACTTCCTGGTACTGGGGTCTGTTGCCCAGTCCGAATCAGTGCACGCAGTAATACCAAGTCCACTAGCACCATCAAAAGCTAGTGTGTAATTACGAGTCCCGATTAGATAGTGGCAGATATACAGTGTTTTGTCTAAATGGGCTTGAGATGGATTAGCAGCAAATTGCGCTAACTTGGTAACTGCATAGCTGATATCCGGTCGAGTTCCGAGCATAATATAGAGCAAGGAACCGATCACAGTTTGGAACCGGCTACGAAGAGTAGGATTGACCGGGCCATTGTGAGGCTCAGGTCGATAGCCTGCAGGGAGAGGAGTTGGTGCAGATTTTGCATTCTGCATGCCACAACGCTGCAGCACTTTATCAAGGTAGGTGATCTGATCGAGATGAATCTCTCGGCCTTGCCTTG